CCTCTGAGGGACCGATGCTCTGCCGTCGCCCGCGCCGAGGCCTCAGGCCGCCAGTCTGGGCCCAGGGCTCTTGGGGCTGCCTCCTGGGGGCGGCACGCCCTCCGTGGACAGCCCTGCGCGGGTTTCCCTTCTTCTGGTTTAGAGGTTCTTTCCCCCCGCCCCCCCCGTGAAAGACCCATTTCCTGGTTAGGGCAGATCTTCCTAGGGAAGGGAGCTTCCTCTGGGATGCCCGGTGACCGGGCCACTCCGCTTGGCGGGCACTCTGGAGCCCGGCCGTCCCAGGCTCGGTGTGCTTGCTGCGGTACCGAGGCAGGGAGAGACGGGCTGTCAAGTTGGTGATTGGTCGTAACGCTTTCAATTATATAGTCAGAGTAAACTATAAATTGTGATCTGCAGTCTAGAAGTAATCCAAGTGAATTGAAGTCTTCAAAGTCTGCGACTTCAAGGAAGAGCTGATTGAAAAGCATCTTAGTTAATTGGTATATTATTGTAGATGCAGGAGAGAATCATGGTTTGCTTTAAGTTTAAAACCACAATCCAGTGTAACTCTTCAGGCAATTAATCGTTTGAAATTAAGTAAATAATTTTTATGGGTTGGTCTTAAAGTATTACAAAATTGCCACTTGCTGCCTTCCACGAAGAAGTGGAAAACCACCAGCAGTTTCAGTTCTTCTGCATAATTGTACATTTTTTTAGTTCAAATCAGTCTAGAATATGTGTGCAGTCTTAGATTTGTCCTAAGAAGTTTAGCATTAACTCTGTTCAAAATCATATCTCTTTGCTCATAGAAGAACTTGTGACTTTGCAGATACCCTCTTCTTTTGTATACTTATTATTAAGGCTGAGACTTTTCTGAGCTAAGGATATGGCCTTTTGACTAGGAGGAGATCATTGCGTCACACGTTCTGTAAAGTAACTTGAATTGTTGCTTATGAACAGTGTGTAGGAATTCTTAAACTGTATGGCCCAAAAGTAATCCCTGACTTAAAACTATCTTGAATATTGTATTTCTCAAATATCAGGCATGGGGAGAAGCTGTTATGAAATAAAACTTCAAGGGTATTGATAAACTCATGCAAAATGATGGCAAGGGTTTTTTTGTGCTGTCAACCTACTCAGTAAAACAGGAAAACTCTTGACATTTTTTTTCTTCTGTGTCCAGTTCACACTGTACTTACCCAGTACTAGTTGAATCTCTGTATATTTAGAACAGATAAGAATTTAATTTAAAAATAAAAAACACCACCACAACAAACCTTTGTCCTTAACTGGGACTTTTAATATATAAAGCACATGTCCAAATTCTATTTTACTTGAGCTTTTCCCAATGTTCTTTGTATATTGTGTGTTCACTTTGTCTTTTAACTAATTTCTGTACAGTAAAATTTCTTGAAGTAATCAAGCCCTTCTGTGTTATCTTGCCTGAAATCCAAAAGCCAGAACGGAAGGTAAGTTAATAAAATTTTCTTCATAGGTTTGTATTTGTGTAATATAAAATGTTTACAGCTTAGTTTGCATTTGTGGGATTTGGTTTTTTTTCCTGTTGGGAGAATAGCAGTTTTAGGCACAATTGTTTTTAGCAGAGTTCTTGTCTAGTACTTTCTGTACTGTGGATATGGTTGTACAAGAATATATTTGCTGGTAAATGCAATTGTGTAGATATGGTTATGCCAGAGCAGTGCATGTTGAAAGCAGTACATATTGGAGTGTAAACTAGAGTAGTTTAGGATAGCACCTTGAAAATCTTTGCTGCTTCAGTTCTAATCTAAGATTATTTGCTAAGATAAGCTTCTGTGTATTACTATTTTTTTCTCACCAGAAGCTCCTTATTATGAAAACGTAAGATTCATTTCTGTGGAAGTACTAGTATTACCTTCCATTGATGTAAGCTTGTTTATTTGGATTAAAGTTTCAGTAAAGCTTTGTCATTTTCCTTGGCCTTACATAGTATAAGTGGGATGAACAGTGAGTTCTTTTCCTTAGGATGTCCTGTACTTTGTCCCTTCACAAGGAAATCAGCTGTGCTTTAGCTACCATGAAAGTTTGCCTGACTGACTAGATCTTGTTATCTTGACAGCTTTATCATCTTTGGTTGTTTTTTTGGCTTTGGGTTTGTGTTTTTTTTCTTTTAGATTCAGTTTAAGGAAAAGGTACTATGGACAGCTATCACACTCTTCATCTTCTTGGTATGCTGCCAGGTATGTTTCTTTCTCTCGTTTTTAAGAAAGGGCTGAAATGTTTAAAGGATGTTTAATCCTGTTTTCCTCTGTTGATTGGAAATGCAGATTCCCTTGTTTGGTATCATGTCATCAGACTCAGCAGATCCTTTCTACTGGATGAGAGTGATTTTGGCATCAAATAGAGGTATGGTCAGTCTTTCAGGAGGGCTTTTTTTTTAGCTTGAATCAAAACATTTTTGGACTCGTTCTTACGTTGTACTCTATTTTAACAAAGACAAAAACTGAAGTAGAGAGGGAAAAGTCATTTTATGTATTATATAAAATCATAAACCAATGTGGTATTGGGAAAGGCACAACTTTGTGGGCAAAATTAGTTTGTGGTTGGCTGCGTGCAATCTATTATATGTACAAAAATCAAGTAACATTTTAGAGGGAAAAGGGTTAGGGGAGGCACAATTCCTAATTACCTGCATCACTGCTGTTGCAATCTTCTGTATATATTTCAAGCTTTTTGATTTGTGTTTCAAACCATATTATATGTGTGTTGCAGTTTCCTGGGTGACATGTTTGAGTCTGTCTCACAGAAGATTAAAATTCATGATAGTTTGTATAAATTTCAGTTTCTTGTAGAGGCTTTCTAATGCAGGTATGAATTAAGAATGGTGACAGTTTCCTGAATTCACTTTGTCATTATATGTCATTGGGGCTATCTATCAGTTTATATCATAATTAGATGTGCATATATGCATGCATGCAACTTGGTGCACTCCTGAAAAAGTTTGGGTTTTCCTGTTTAAAATTACCAATAATAAAGTGACTGATCGTTGAAGGCAGAAAGCAAATTCCTACCTTGTTTTATGCAGAGTAAATCTGTTCCTCACAGCAAAAGTCTTTTTCAGCAAACATAGTAAAAACTAAGGTACTGAGGAATACTGTGTTGCATATCAGCCTGACACTTAACAAGCTTTTGTTATCATTGACACCTTTACATTTATGGAGATTTGGAATTTTATGTCTTCTCCATCATGATGTAAAGGGTGGAAAAAGCAAACTGAACTTCAAAGAATGCCTGAGTATGGTACGCCCCATTATTTTCTTTCATTGTTCTTCCTGTGTCTGGCAGGTACGTTGATGGAACTGGGCATTTCACCTATTGTCACTTCTGGGCTCATTATGCAGCTCTTGGCAGGTGCTAAGATAATTGAAGTTGGTGACACCCCAAAGGACAGAGCTCTATTCAACGGAGCACAGAAATGTGAGTAACAGCTGATATTAAAGGCTGATGGTTTAGAGTATCTAACCCTAACAATAGAAAGTGTAAACTTACCACATGATGAATGTTGGAGTCAGATATATGGGTTTCTGTCATGCTGTGTGTTCATGTTGTGCTACAGATTTCTGTATTTTGTCAGTCTTTTACTGACTGCTCTCTGGCTTATTAGCTGTTAAGCCTCAGAAAGGTTTGAAAAGGAAGAGTATGTCTGCAATTGTCATTGCTGGTGTAATGTCACCGGATAAACTAAGCAATGTATAGACTGTGGGCACCCAACCTTTGAACTGTGTTGGTCAGTGTTAACCTAAAAAAGATTAAGATGCTTGTTGTAGTTGTTTTTACCTTGTAGTTTCAAGCATGGCTCTTTCTCAGCAATAAGAAATCTCTGCTCAGTTGTCAAATGATTTTTAGAAAGATTTGAGTGTTCTTTAGCTATTTGATGCTGTACCACACTACTTACTGATCTGTTTACTGGAAAAAAAGAACCATAAATTACTAAGGTAATATCTTAACACCCTTATAGTTTTCAATACCTAAAGCAGTCTTCAGTAACCAAACCCACTTGCTTCTGAGCATATTTGTTTCTGAAGTGTCTGTGTGTATTTGTATTTTCAGTGCCAGATTTCAGACAACAAACTTAACTTGCCTTTGAATTTACATGTCCTGGAACCTATGTATTCCTTCCCAACTTTCTCTACAAAGGAGTGATTTGTATTTTTCCAATTGCCTGCTCACATAAATCTTCAGAACAAATACATACTTATTTCTTTTTATTCTACAGTGTTTGGAATGATCATTACAATCGGACAGTCTATTGTCTATGTAATGACTGGAATGTATGGAGACCCATCTGAGATGGGTGCTGGCATCTGCTTGCTTATCACAATTCAGGTAATTTCTAGTCCTCTCTACTTACTCTCCCTATGGAAGAGTCGAAAAATCAGCGTTATGGACTGCCTGCCCCACATGCAGAGGGGGAAAAAAAGAAAAAAACAAAAACAAAAGTATTCCTACTTCATGTGTATATAGTCTTTCCTTGTCTTTTAATACAAGCTTTTTTTTTAATAAAAATTAAAAGGGATGGGACTAATGCTGTGTTTCTTTTTTTACTGTAGCTTTTTGTTGCTGGATTGATAGTTCTGCTCTTGGATGAGCTCCTACAGAAAGGATATGGTCTTGGTTCTGGCATCTCTCTCTTCATTGCTACCAATATCTGTGAGACTATTGTGTGGAAAGCATTCAGCCCCACCACAGTGAACACAGGACGAGGTAATATGGCATTGTCTGTTTACAAAAATTTTGTACAAAAAGGCAAAATCTTTTTTTTGTTGTTTTCAGTTTGTTAACTTAAATGGCAAATGCTGTTACTAGCATCTTAGCTGTGTAGTTGCCATGTAGTGAATCTTGTTAATACAACAAGTGCTGCTATGAAAGGTGCAAGTACAAGGACATTTCTTTTTAATTCTGTAGTATCTCACAAGATATTTCCTGAACTTGAATTTCTTACAGTGCCTCCATTAAAACTTGATAACGGTAGGCTGCCATCGTATCACGGTTGCTGCCCAACTTCCTGACAAATGTCATCAGTTTCTTTCTGCTCCTTGCATTTCTTACTTTTTGTCCCAAAGACCTTATTCTCCAAACCTGACAGGAGGTGATCGTGTTTGGTGCTGTATAATAGAAAACATAAGTGAGGTTATCACATTTGCTGTAATACAAACAATAACTAGTGTCTCACCATGAATGATACTAGGAAGCATGCTGCCTCCCTCAACTTTTTATTTTATTTTTTTTGGTGGCGAGGAGGAAAGGGGGGAAGAACTTGGTGAATGTCAATGTTTCTAGAGACCGGTAAAGTTACCGCATTTGATTGCTGAGTTATGATTTAGTTTCTAGACCACTACAGGGGGATTTTAAAAAAAATCTTGGAAATAATATAGCTAATATGCAGGATTACAGTAGTAAAAGTCGTAAGAGCATGCTCAAGAAGCAGAAGACTCGGAGAAATCCCATTCTGAATCCTGTAGTTCAGAAGTATGCCCAGTGGGACAAAGCACTGAAGTTTGGAGATAATCACAGCACACCTAACGTGGTTTTTCTTTTCCTTTCCAAGGCATGGAATTTGAGGGAGCCATCATTGCTCTGTTCCATCTTCTGGCTACTCGTACAGACAAAGTCAGAGCTCTTCGTGAGGCCTTTTACCGTCAGAATCTCCCCAACCTTATGAATCTGATTGCCACCATCTTTGTCTTTGCTATTGTAATTTATTTCCAGGTCAGTTGGAATAAAGAGACCTGTAAAACTGTTCATATGGAAGTAGATCTGTAATCTACTTCCTTCTACAGGAAATTATATTTTCACTTTCTAGTGCCTTCAGAAGACTCATTTTTCTATCTGCAACATCTGGATGTTCATTTAACACTATCTTCTCTTAATTAGTTTCCACACTTACTGTAGCCACACAAAAGACTTGAGACCTACTTTTGTCTCTGAAAAAAAAAAAAGAATGTGTGCGTGCAATATTGTCTAACCCAAATGCTATTGCTTTTTGTTGGAAAATACTTTGAAGTCTTTAAGCCTATGTGTCTCTTACTGTTTGTTGCAGCAAACTGCTGAAGAGTGTAGAAAGTTTTAATGTTTCTTTTCCTGGATACTATGTTCAGTCTTCTTGAAACTTCAGATTTCTTCTGATGTCTGCATCTTTCATACCTTCTTACATGTGTGTGTTTAGACAATGCTGCAGGCTTCCGGGCCCTTTGCAGAAGTGTTTGCGTGGATAGCCCTCTGGGTGGAGTATGTGTACTTGCACAAAATGATTGCAGAATTTTTTCTGTTGCTGTCAAGGCCTTGCACTTGTAGTTTACAACCTGTGGTATGATTTCATGTCCAGATATAATGGGGGACTTTCTTTTGAAAACTTTTTAGGGCTTCAGAGTGGATCTTCCTATCAAATCTGCTCGCTACCGTGGCCAATACAACACCTACCCTATCAAGCTGTTCTATACTTCCAACATTCCCATTATTCTTCAGTCCGCCCTGGTGTCAAACTTGTACGTCATTTCCCAGATGCTTTCTGCACGCTTCAGTGGCAACTTACTGGTTAGCCTGCTGGGCACTTGGTCTGTGAGTATTCCTTCTGATCTTGCATACGGCTTTATAAGAGCACCATTAAAATGCATAGTTGAAGAGATGATCTCCCTAAATATTAAGGCACACTTCTGCAGGTGGTCATGTATACTGAAACTCCTAAATTAGTAACTTGTTTAAGTACATGGTAGAGTATGAGACCTGCTGTGATGAGTGTAGATGTTAGGTATCCATCTACCTTTTACCTTGGGCTGTTCTTTGCTGTCCTAGGTATTTTTGCTGCTCATTGTTGTACTCCGTTTCTACTTTAGAAACTGCTTGTGATAGTGAAGTTGAATCTTTGTGTGCTGCTGTAGTGGTAATGATGAATAGTGACATGAAGGTGATATAAACTCAGGCTTAGCTTAATGGCTAAGAAATAGTGAGAAAGTTGGTGACTGCTTGCTTCCTTCTTCTAGGACACATCATCTGGAGGTCCTGCTCGTGCATACCCAGTTGGTGGACTTTGTTATTATCTGTCACCTCCGGAGTCCTTTTCTTCAGTGTTAGAGGACCCTGTACATGCAGTCGTTTATATTGTATTTATGTTGGGCTCCTGTGCTTTCTTCTCTAAGACATGGATTGAAGTCTCTGGCTCCTCTGCCAAAGATGTAAGTCTAAAATGATAAATTATGTAAGCTTACATGATGAAAACAGATGGGCTGTTATAAGAATAAGACTGACTGACTTCTGAAATGCTATTATGCTGGTAATCTTGTTGGTAATATTTATTGTTTGTATAAACAGTGACTATGTCTTTTTTGTAAGTGGGGAGGATGAGGGTAATTTTTTTCCCTGTTTTCTTTACTGCTTCTTCAAAAACAACAACAACAAAACTTAAATAATTGCTTTCATTGGCATTAGGAAACTTTGAACGTTGCTGTGTAACATCTGATCAGTGTGAGGGCAGGCAAGGTAACAGGCAAGGTAGAAACTCTGAATGCCAAATGAGAGATGCACTGTATGCCAGTCAGTTGCCACTTAAGAACTTGCAGATAAAGCTTGAATACCCATGGCTGGCACAGAGAGTTCTTAACTTCTTTTGGGGCAAGATTGACTAGAAGTTGTTATTTTTAACTTGAGAATGCTGATAACAGAGAATATAGTGCAGTGCGTTAATGTACCTGAGCCTAGCTTCTCAAAATTTCCATTTGCTACAGGATATTTGATATGCAGCAACTATATCATTCTGAAATTGGAATTGGAAAGCAAGATGGAAAATAGTTGTCATCGTGGTATGTTTGTATTGTGTGGTTTGGGAAATTAGGTTTGGCAGCCATATGGAACGGTTGCATCCATTCTTTAACAAATATGTAATAGTTGCACAGTTACTGTAACAGCGTGAGCACTCTCTTGTTTTGGACTTGCATCTAGCTGCTTGTTGTCAGGAATGTAGGGAGGCACTCACAGCCATGTATAGGCAGATTTTTATTTCAGTATAAACCAATGTACGGTTTTTAACACTTGAATATACTTTCCTGATACTGAATAAAATTATTTTAAGTTCATGTAAACAGGGTCAGAAATAAAAATTGATAAACCATTACTTAAATGTTCACTATATAGTGGAAAACTGGTAGCTTAATCATCTGAAATTGTGTTTTCTCAGTACATTAGATTCAGTGACAAGCACCTTCAGAAGCTCCCCTGCTAGAGTTTGTTACCCTCCGTTGTTAGTAAAATGTTTGCAGGTCTCTGTAGTAACCCCGTACATACGCAGAAATTCAATTTAAGAATCATGTTCTGAGAAGGGATTCTAAGTCATATAGTTTCTAATACAGCCCCACAAATAAATAGTTAGCTCAACTGAATGTGGGAAACTGAAATGAAGTGGACTCTTCATAGGATAGTTTTGCTAACATCTACTAAACCCTAACTGGGAGAAGGGTAGGTAGCAAAACAGAAATTGAATTATGTGTATGAGAGCTTACCAATTTCCAGATTTTCGTTTTCTTAATAGGACTAGAATTATCCAAAAAGCTTCACATAATTGACAGTGTGCAAAAGTACCTGTGACTGCAATCTATTTGAAGTTAAAATACTGGATATTTTAAACTCAGATGAATAATATAAAAAGCAAAACCCAAAACAATACACACAAAAAACCACAAACCACCACCATTTACTGAAATGTCTTGCCTCTGTTTTCCCATAGTGCTAAGTTCCATGGCCTTGGCAAATAACACTAAACTTACTTGCTCCATTCCTTGATTCAATACAGGTTGCCAAACAATTGAAAGAACAACAAATGGTAATGCGGGGCCACAGAGAAACTTCCATGGTACATGAACTAAACAGGTGAGCTACGCATTTCACAGGCTATTTATGCAAAGTGTTGTGGGGAAACACATGGCAAATTTTGCTTTGAATGTTGTCTCATTAATGGAAGACGTTAGAGAATGTGCCTTAAATTCTGGAGCTAGTATTTTGCTGTTGTATTTTTTTCATTGTTATACTTTTTATAGGATAGCTAATAATGAGCATTTGAGTGTACTTTAATACTTCGAGCTGAGGCACAATATTTTTTTTAATGGTAATTTTTAATGTGTTACTGTGTCTCGAGTACCATTTTCACACAGACTTTGCTTCTAAAACAAGCAGTTATTTAAATCTACTGGGTGCAGAGATAGGCAGGGGTTGGTCTCTCTAGGTTTTCTAATTGCAGGGTAGTACCTGTGCACCCTTCATGTTACAGAAATGTTATTTAACTTTAGATTTCAGTCATCAGCAAATGACTTGAAGAGCTAGTAGCCATACGCTTAATATTTGTGCTTAATTGCACAGTAGACTGTAATACCTTCTCTTGTCAGCTTAGCATTTTTTTTTTCCTTCCAATCAGGTTGAGCTTTTTATTTCCTTACCTTGTGTACTGGCACTATTGCATGTTGCTTATCGTGGATTGTAGACCCATGAGAGAAGAGAGTATTTTGCCACTGACTATTTTCCATTTGTGTAGTTTCATTCTTGTTTTTTTAACCATCTGGTTAGATTATCTCTGTAGTGTTCTTTCTGTTCTCAGTGGGATTGATTTTCTAGGAAAAAAACCTGCCTCTGATTTAGATACTTTCCATAGATCCCATATACCCGAATATATTTGTTAATATCCTGAGCAAACCCTAACGGCAACTTTTCTGTTCTCATTTTGTGTTTTACAGGTACATCCCTACAGCTGCTGCATTTGGTGGTCTCTGTATCGGCGCCCTCTCTGTGCTGGCAGACTTCCTTGGCGCAATTGGGTCTGGAACTGGAATTTTGCTAGCTGTCACTATCATTTATCAGTACTTTGAAATTTTTGTAAAGGAACAGAGTGAAGTTGGCAGTATGGGAGCTCTTCTTTTCTAAATCTAGCTTCTCGTGGACCCAGGAAAGAGGGGAAGAACATTCTCAAAATATAGCCAGTCAGGTGAAAAGAAGTAACATAAACTTGATAATGTCATTCTATAAGAACACATATTTTAATAATGTTTCCAAAGCGCATTCCATTATGTTCAAACTTTTCTAGCATACTGTTTGCATTTTGTAAATTCATGAGGAAAGATGTGCAAAAAAAATTTTTTTAAGAAAATTGTTTTTTAATTATGTGTTAGGAGAATCAGCTTTCTGAATTGGATTTAGTTCAGTGACTCTTGAATTTATTTTTTTTTTTAGCCCCTTTCAAATTTAGTATGCCTGAAGCCTTTACAGGTTTTAATAAATGTTTGTTAAATGAATGTTTGGAAGGGATTGTTGTCCATTTAACTTGTTTTTGCAGCTCCTTTGCAGTAGTGGTGAGAACAATCTCTCCCTCTAAAGCTCAAGGTCCATAATTATGGTTGTAAGCACAAACAGTGTTTAATATGTTCAGTTTCATGTTTGGGGTTTTTTTCAGTATGGCAGATTTGGAAGGCAGTTGTTTCTTTTTGCTAAACAACATCTCCAAATTCAAATGTTTTGTCTTGTAATTACAACACTAGACCTTGTCGGATGTTGACTATTGGCTTGAGACTGTTGTCAAGTTTCTGTATAAGATAAGAACGTGTTCTTTCCCACCACCCTTCCTCTGTAAGCAGAAAACTCAGGTCAGTGGAGATTCTGCCAGAGTCTGTGCCTAAGAGTTGCAACTTTGAAACCTGGTCATACCAGCAGCTTTGTAAAACCTTCTAATTAGTTTTCATTGCCATTAGTGGTAGTTCTTGTGGTTCTGATGCTGGCTGAGAGAAATGGATGTTATGGCTGCTTAGATGCAAATCTGCTTGTGTTCTTTACTGAAGCTAAGTTTCTCTCCTTGATGATAAATTCTGGTCTTGTAACAATCAGGATGTTATCTGACTACTCATATCTAGTGAATTTTGAGTCTCATTACCACAAAGGAGTGTGCAAAGAATGTATGTTACTTGTCTGTTTCTATAGATCTAGATGAGAGATGCTTGTCAGATAACTCTTGGAAGTTGTTTATGTAGAAGGCTTTTCCATCCTATAATCTCGTTGACTTGAATGGTGTGTAGAAAAGTACTTTTTCAGAAGGCATTGGGACTCCTCCTTTTTTTGAAGATCACACGTTCAAATTGGAGAAGCTACAGTAAAAGGCTTTAATGGACCAAATGATACTTAATTTTCCATTTTAATGTAGATTGTCAGTACTGATCAGGTGCCTAGGACCAATGCAAATATTTGTGTATGAGTCTGGTAAATACACTTTTCCTCAATCAGTATTGGACAATGTGGGAACCAGAATGAGGAGTTACAATGTTGGAATGTTTCTCTACACTGCATCAACACATCTTCTGTGCATTTTTGCATGTTCAGCTGACAGTATATGGATTACTTGGAGTGATGGGACTCTGTTACATACCCAAGGAGCACAGATAACACCCAGGAGCCCTTGTTAATGCACTGAGCTCAAATACAAATGCGTGAGAAATCTGCGAATTTGGAATGAGATACACCTCTCAGTAAAAGTGAAACTCCTGCGATGAGGATCACGATTGGAAAAGGAACAAAAGTATTGGGATAAAGTATCCATGAAATGCTCGCTACCAGCCATTCACTATTACTTCACACGACGTTCAATAATTTTTCTCTTACTCGTAAAGTACTAGTATGCCACAGCACAGTTTCGATGTAAAATAAGGGACAGTTAAAAAGTGACTTTAAAAGGCGAGGGAAGGAACATGGTGTGGTGGTTCTGCTTTGGGGATTTTTTTGTTGTTGTTTTTCTGGCAAGCCCAATACAAGTTTTGTTTTGAGATAAAAAGGGCTCCACTTTTGGGCACACAGCTCTGGCTGGGCTGGAGCTGTACTTATATTTTTGATCATATCATCTGTTTGAACTGGTTGCGGTTTAAACCGTTGGCTCTTCAGTGTCTAAGCAGCACTTGTTCTATGCATCTGTATTTTTGTTGTCTAGTGTTGAAATCTTTGTCTGTTATCAAGCAGCTGTGTCCTTGAAGCAGGACCTGCTGATCATACAGTGGATGTTCACAAAAAGAAATAATGTCTCAACAATCTGCTTTATAATGAAATAAAGTACGTCTTTGGAGCTAATGCTTGGTTTTCAGTGCTTTGAATACTGTTACATTTCTGACAGTTGTAGAATAACGTTAGCTCCCTACGAGACTCTGAAAGTGATCCCTCTCAAGACAGCTGGTTGGAGTGTCGCTGTAAAATAAAGACAAATTGTATTTGCTCCAAGGTCTACTCTCAACAATAGATTGCCAAAATAACAGAGCCTTAAACCATTCCTCTGGGCTTTTGTGTTCCAGAAGAGTTGCAATTCAGAAGGTGCTGCACAAGTAAATAGAGGGAGAGTTGAGGTAATGATGCATCAGGTTAACCAAAACTATATTTCCATATGAAATACAGTGCCAGTCGTTTTGTGGCATGATAGTAGTGACAGGATATTAATTGAAACAACACAACTCAAAGCTGATGATATTCCCAATGGTGTTTTGCCCTCTGAGTTTTTAAACTTAACTTGGAGTAAGGAAAAATTCTATCTTCCTCCTGAATAGAAATATACTAGTACTTAAAAGCAAGTTTATTTAAAATACTGGTACTGGATGCAAGAAGTTCTGCCAAGATTTTGGTCATGTATAAAGTCATTCTAAACAACAGCTTGGTTTCTCCCTTGCTGTTTCATTTTTTGCCAGGAAACTTGCATTAATAACTGTGTTTGCTGTGGGACTATTATGTCATTGCACACATGATCACAGGAGTAATTGAAGTCACTGTAGGTGTAGTGAGTTACCTACAAGAAGCTAGGTGGAATACCAACACCAAGGGAAAGTCTGAGATACTCTTTCTGCTGGTAGTATTTTCAGTGCAAACTTCCTTGCATAGCCTTTTCTTCTGCGTATCTGTAGATTTCATGTGAAAACTTGTGCCATAGCACTTAAGTTCTGGGTGTTTGATTTTTGTCCCCATCACCATTATTCAGAGAGACTTAAAAATCACCTGGTTTATTCTAGTTCACGTATTCCTAGGGCCTCTCACCATATAATTTTGAGATGGCAAACAAAGGGACTTCTTTTTCTTAATTCCTCAGACATTTTGTTTGCTGCTGGTTTGGGGGTTTTTGTTTGTTTTTAAAAAAAAATTCCTTTTGCCTGCAACTATAAAGGTTGTTGCTTTACTCTGAAATGTTTTGTGGCTGTGCTCCCTTGATTTCTTCTGGGGATAACCCTGTCCCTGCACTGTAAACAGACTCTGATTTGAGAAATAGATTTCCCAGCCAGCTCTCAGTAAAGGAGGAAACCGAGTGGCCTTGTAACTGCTTTTCCTAATTATTCCTTGCGGCAAGAGAGAACAATAAGCTTTAGGTGGCCTTCAATTTTATCACAGCTTTGAGGAGTTGCGTGCAGGTTTTTGTAAGCTGTTGTTTGCTTACCGACGTGGTGTGACACAACTGACAGGTCCTCAATCAGCCCTCGCTGCCTGCAATACTAAAACTGCTTCCTGATGTATCGCTGTGTGCTGAACGCGTGTTCGGGTCTTTCCCGTAGCAAGTGCACATCTTTCCAAATCCGTGATGGCCGCAGGGCGTTACTGCCAGTAAAGAAGAGTGCTTTCAGAAAAAGTGTGCAGGGGAGAGAGACCGCTGACATTTCTGAAACTCTGGTTTACTTGGTACGTGGCTTGGAGGGCCTGCCGTCTCTCTCGCTGCTCCCTCTGCCAGCTTTCTGACATGAAACCCCAGCCTTCGCCGGGTTCCTGCCCAAAAAGGTCACGGTTTGAAGTGCGGTGAGCGGCACTGCTGGCACCCTCCCAGCTGTGCAGGGGGAGAGGTGCAGGTGTTCAGACAATGCCTGCTTGTTCAGGAGGGTCTGGGGCTGGGAAACACAAGGCCCTTCCAGCTTCGCCCAGCCTCCCCAAAGGATGAAGGACGGAGGCTGGCACCAAAGGGGCCCGTCTGCCCGCCTGGTGGCAATGTTACACTGCAGTTCCAGGCACCGGGTTCACGGCAATTCGGATCGGTGAAACGCGTGGTGCATCTGCTCCAAGTGCGTGTTCTTTCTTTTCCTTTGCTGCTGCGCCGATGGGTGTTCTGCAACGGAAAGAGTTGGGAACGGAGCTCACCAATATTTCTTTGTACTGCCTAGAATCGGGGCGGGGATTGAGGTTGTTTTAAGCTGAAAAGCTGAAAATCATCATCTTCTTTTAGAGAGTTTGTAATATCTATAATATTTTGTAATATTTTTCAAGCATGCTAGGTGTCAAGGGGCAGTTGCTGTTATCACCGCTTGGTCTGCTGAATATTGCTACACGGTTTAAGCCTAGACTGAGACAGTCTATGGGATCAGAAAGAAGACAAAAAAAAGAAGCATTTAAAAACAAAATCAATATTCTAAGCTGGGGACCTAATTAGTCAGCCAGACTTTAAGCTGCTGTTTTATAATATGCTACTGGATGGATCTGCTAAAATGGAAACTCTTCTGTGGGCCAGGTCCTCGCAATCCTCTGGCTATTGCTAATGTGAGGCGAGCCAAGCTGGCAGCGCTTGGCAGAAAGGAAATACCCTGACAACTGGCACCTCCTTTGGCAGTTGTGTCAGAGGGGCTAGAGACTGAATGAGCACAGGCATGATATACTTTGTCATCGCAGAGTGGGCTGTCAAGGTCAGAGATGGGATGCCTGCTCTGAGATAGTTCTTGTTGGAGAACAAGAAGAGTGGGCCAGTCAATTTTCCAGCAATATGAATACCTGTGAGCTTAAAATAGAGGGAACAAATAAAACAGAAGAACAGCTAGGATATAAATCTTTTAAAAGCTGTTTCAGACATTTTTGTATTGCTTTGAAGAAAATCAGGGTACATGGCACATACAAAATCCCAGATTCCCCTTCTTATATATTAAGGCTAAAGTGGATGGTTCCAAAAATGGTGTGAGCACTGCTGGGGGACAGCTATCTGAAATCTGAGATGAGTATTATCCATTTTAATCTTCAGCATGTCTTTAGCCGTTTCATGTTCTTACAGCTCTGATGTGTCTCTTCTATATACCTGTGGTGTGAAGCTTTATAAAAGAAAAAGGCGACTCTAGACATACGGGAGCAGGAAACTGTGAGCAGAACATTTTGCATTATTAACTTCACTATGTAAATGTGAATTTTAATTTTGTTTAATTAGTTTTCTGTTTCGGCAATGCAAGAGCAAGGAATTGTTGCTGCTGCTGGATTC